AAAAAAAAAAAAAAAAAAAAAAAGACTTGTGTAATTTGATCAAACAGGATTAAGGATTAAAACCAACCAACACCACAAAACATGACAGAATTCATCAAATCAATTGATAATACTTACTGATGTTAGATGTTTTCCCGCCAATAACTGAATGACGTCACTTCCTGCTGGAAGATGTCGGAAACATATGAAATATGAACATCCATTCAAACAAAAGTTGATAAATACTCATTGTGATAAAATATGTTTATCCTTAAAAAGTGATTGTGTCGACATAAAAACATCTACATTGTGATTCAATTCGCGAGCGACTCAAAGCTGAATCACATTTGATGATTCAAATTCGATTTGCATCATTTTGTCAGGTGTGTAATATATGGCGCATCACAAGGGATTTTTTTCGCGAATTTATAACGTTATAAATAACATAAACAATCTAATTGTCACTAAATACGCGAGCGATTTGAAAAAACTGAATCGCGTTTGAAACGGATTCGAACACTCGATTCACTTCATTTTGTCAGGTGTGCACAGCGCCTCATAAAAGATTTTTTGGCGCTCTGTGAAACGCGAATTTATCACGAAATATCGCTACGTGATTGTGTCGACATAAAAACATCTACATTGTGATTCAATTCGCGAGCGACTCAAAGCTGAATCACATTTGATGATTCAAATTCGATTCGCATCATTTTGTCAGGTGTGTAATATATGGCGCATCAAAAGGGATTTTTTTCGCGAATTTATAAGCTATAAATAACATAAACGATCTAATTGTCACTGAATACGGGAGCGATTTGAAAAAATTTAATCGCGTTTGAAACGGATTCAAACACTCGATTCGCTTCATTTTGTCAAGGTGTGTAGTAGAGCGCCTCATAAAAGATTTTTGGCGTAGAAACGCGCATTTCTCGCGAAATATCGCTACGTGATTGTGTCAACATAAAAACATCTAGGCTGATTCAATTCGCGAGTGACTCAAAGCTGAATCGCATTTGATGATTCAAACACGTGCTTTGCATTATTTTGTTAGGTGTGTAATATGTATGGCACATCACAAGGGATTTTTCGCGAATTTACCGCCAAATAACGCTATAAATAACATATCTACATTGTTACTCAATACTCGAGCGATTTGAAAAAACTGAATCGCGTTTGAAACGGATTCGAACTCAATTCGCTTCAGTTTGTCAAGTGTGAACAGCGCCATAAAGGATTTTTGGCGTGCTAAGAAACGCGAATTTCTCGCGAAATATCTCTATATGATTGTATATGGACAACCCTAATCACGAAGACTTTCACACAGAAACCTTAAGCTGTAAACACGGATAAGATTTTATCACAAAAAAACACTGACCGCTGCATGAATCAGCAACTCCACAGCAATTCAGATTTATGCTACACTTAAGCACAAGCTGGAAACGTTTTCACACATTTTATATGTACTCTTTTTTTTTTTTTATGAGTGGCATATTTTTATGAGTGCTTCCACATTAATCTACATACTTTCCCTGTCTTTCAGGAAACACACCTGCTCCTTCAATAAAGCTCAACAGGTGTGACTGAGTCCAAATGATTATGGCACTAATTCAAATGATTGAAAACAAAATGGCTAAAATTGTGCATCCCTTGATTTCTCAAACATCATGACCTACATAAATCTGACAGAACATTCAAAGACAGCTGAAGACTTTAAGATCTACACCAACCTCAAGACTGTATCCAGGTGAATCTCACCAAGAAATGTCCAGGTCATATTAAACTCCAAAATCAGAAGCATTTTTGGCCTGAAATATGACCTGGTGTGTTTTTGACATATTCTCCCCTTCAGAAACCACTCAGGAACATATCTACAAGAACTCCAGTTTCAGCACTGATGTTTTATAGTTGTACAGATCTTGATAACGTGTAAATTATTAACTTTGCATCTATAGTTTCTGATTCAGATTCAATGAGGCCGAGATGTTTGATCTGATCAAATACAAACACGCATGGCCAAAGAATCTGTAGCAAATGTATTTCATTATCAGCTGCAGCTTCCAGAAGAACTTTTATTTATTTTGTAAATATCAGACACATGAGATGGTGTAACATGCTTTTTTGTTAAAATGTTTTATTGTTTGTCTCATTTTATTTTTTTTGTTACATTGATAGTGCAATCTTTTTTTAAGGAAAACAAACAAAAAATGCTCGCATGATTAAATAAATGCATAAAAAAATGAATTTTAAAAATTGAATCAATCACGAACATCCTTTTTTAAACCTAAAACTGTTTGTTTTCAGCAAACATCATCACTGGGTCCTAATTCATGAACACACAATTGACATTATAATTTCACAATCATCATAATTATGAGATTTAATCCAATATTTCCACCCTGGAATAAGTGCATTTACATTCAAGCTGAAGTGAAACCGGTATCAGACCACAGTTTCAGATCAAAACCCACAGGCATCATGCATGTTCACTTCAACGAAACAAAACGATCAAAGCCTCAAATCTTAAAAAAACCCAAACACCTACAACAATCAAACATGAAATGAATCAGGCAGGACATGAGGTTTAATAAACATAAACAAAAATAAAAACTAGCCATCCCTGACAGATCAGTGCATGTAAATGAGCTAAACGAACACTGAATATGTTTGTGATACTGAAACGTTCAAGCTGAATCTTCTCAATGCTGTGGTAATACTGTGCTGGAGAAACCATGAAACTCTTTATACTGCATATATAACACAGAACACAGAAAACAAGGCTGTTATTCTAGAGTTGAAATCAGTGATTACGGTCAATTTATTGTAGTCATATGTCAGAAATATTGTAAAAGTGTTATTAATTGACTCTAAAAACATTATTGAGCCAATGTTCCATCAAAATCTTGGTTTGCATCTAAGAAAATATGGCAGAGGAGAAAACAAGTGCAAATACAAACCAAGTCATTTGGTCATTTTAAAAATGTATTTAGTGATTTTAAAATGCAGACTCATGTGAAGCAGACTAAAACGTACATAATTACTGAAATCAGCATGAATTAACACCGCTGTCAGTTTATTTGCCAGATGCGCTCATTGCAGTTGCATAAGTGTATTAATATAGTCGTGATGCATCTCGAGCGGTGATGTGTAATGTGTTGCATCACGTCTGCCGTCACTCTTTTAGTGTTTTCTGATGTAATTCAGTTTTTGGACATAAAACTCATTGGCTAATTTGGACACGCCTGCACTGTTTGGTTCTGTGATGATCAGTTGTCTAAAGTATTGCATTAAATGCATTAAAAAAACACGTTTGCAAGATCCGACGGCATCTTTGAGACAAACTTTGCACTTTGAGTCGTCTGCCGCATACACCGATGCTCCTTGAACCTAATCAGGACTTGTGAAAATGAAATCAAGCTCAATGTCTAAACGCATGTTAGTTCATCATGACATCCGGGGAGTTTTACGATGAAAGCAGGGGCTGCTGCTCGGAGCTCTGAGACAAAAAAAAGTTAGGAAAAGACATTAATAAACAGCAAATGCAGTAACAATCAGCATTGCATGTAGCCTTAATGGAGAAATGCAATCACAGAATGCATTGCATTGGAAAAAGTTGTTAAAACTGGACAATTTTATGCAATATTTATGTGTGCTGTGTGAAACAAATGTGACTCAAAATTTGACTGAATGTCAAATGTGACTCAAATGTGTGCGTTTCACGTGCTATATGTATGAGGAATTATGGCTGATTATGTAGAACGCTCAAAATCTATCATTTTTTTTTGTGCCCTCCACTAATATTGGCACCCTTGGTAAATATAAGCAAAGGCGGCTGTGAAAATAAATCTGCATTGTTTATCTTTTTAATCTTTCATTCTAAAAATTCACAAAATCCTAACCTTTCATTGAAGTCAAACAATGGAAAGTGGAGGGAAAATCTCATTATGAAATAAATGTTTTTTCTCCAATGCATGTTGGCCACAATTATTGGCACCCCTAGAAATGCTTATGAGTAAAATAACTCTGAAGTATATTCCAATTCATATTTAAAATTTTTTTTAGCACACCAGAGTGACTAGGAGCGTGAAATTGTCCAGCCATGACTTCCTGTTCCACAGGATTATAAATATGAGGAACACAAAGGCCAAATTCCCTTAATCATCCATCAGACGTTTTAGTGAAGGAAGTGATGTGTGAGCCTCACCGCTGGCGTCTGCTGTCGGCACATGAACACGATGAAGATGACGCCCAGTAAGATGCCCACACTGATCACTATGAAGGGGATGTTGACGATCACATTAGCCTCGGTAACCACCGCGTACAGCTTCTCGGCAGATTCCTCGTCAATAACGACGCTCTGGAAAACAGGACAGCAGCGTTTAGAAGATAAGAAGAGACAGAAATTAAGAAAAACACTCTCATATTTCCTGCTCAGTCCCTTTGAGTTCTGCTGGATGTCCTGTCTGATAATGTGAACTCAAAAGAACTGCTTTAGAGTTAAGATCTCATTCGATCTTTTTCATTTAGTGCACTTTTATACAGAAAAACAATCATCTAATCATCTAATGCTGAGACTGGTTTATCTCTTTAACTGCGTCCCAAATGACGCACTATACACTCATACACTATCTACTTATGCACCATGTACTCAACCATGTATTGTATGAATTATATAAGGTTATTTTGTCATTCATAATCGGAGTCTGATAGCTCCTCCCCCTTCGGTACGTAAAAAATACGGTACGTTTTTTTTTTTTTTTTAAATATGAGCCAAGCTGATGCAACCACATCTCTCTCATTTACTCTTTCATGGCTTGTGTCATTCAAAGGTTAATATTATTTGCATCATGTTTGGACACTTTATCTGTTGCACCCTTCACCTAATTTTGCTTGATCCGTCTGGACTGCAGCAATAATCAGAGTTCAAATCAGCTAAGAAGCTTTACAGGAAATCATGATGTTCATGTTTATAATATCTTAATATCTTCATGCCTTACAGTTGCATTTAGCAAATTCGAGCTGGATGATAATAGTTAAATGTTGTGACGATATATAAATTATATATAGCTGAGGTTTGCTATATAGTATACTGTATATGGCTTTATGAGAGTGAAAGTGAAGTTTTTCAGTTCATTTCAGTTCAACTATTTGAACACGACAGTAACACATGTTTTGTCACGTAGACAACCCTGACATGCTATAAAAGCCTTGTAGAAAGATACTGATGATGATTTTCTAAAACTTTACCTCATTAAGGTACATCACTGGAAACACCAGCGTCTGGATCTTCTCAGTTTGACTGCAAAACAAAAAAGAAAATATGATTCTGATAGTATGTGATGATGTTAAGACCAGGGTTATTACAGTTAACTAAAATGGTAAAAAAAAATAATAATATGTGTTGCTTGAAATAAAATCTAAAGAAAAAAACGCTTAAAGAAATCTTATTTTATTTCTGCTAGTTGCAACATTTCTTATTTTTGTTTAAAGGTAAAATATTTGAATAACAATAAAAATAAAAACTATATAGATATATTAAAAAATGATAATAATAAATTACTAAAACTTAACTATAATTAAGTCCAATAAACAAAACCAAAACAAAAATACAATCTAATTCAAAATATTAACTACAACTATGATTTACACCCATCAACAAAGGGTTATATTTATAATATTAAATAAATAAAATATATAAATAAACAATAAAAATAAAAACTATATAGATATATTAAAAAATGATAATAATAAATTACTAAAACTTAACTATAATTAAGTCCAATAAACAAAACCAAAACAAAAATACAATCTAATTCAAAATATTAACTACAACTATGATTTACACCCATCAACAAAGGGTTATATTTATAATATAAAATAAATAAAATATATAAATAAATAAAAAAAATATATATTTATTTAAATTTTATTTCAGCTAGTTGCTATGGCAGCATTTCTTATTTTTGTTTAGTTGAACTTAAATTACTAAAATAACTACTGCAAAACTAAATAAACTACAATTATATATAAAATAATAATAAAAATGACAAAAACACACAACAAAATGACTAAAACTAACAAAAATTAAAGTGAAAACAGCAAATACAAAAATAAATCTGTAACGGTTTATCAATGATCCATAGACACATCAGCATTGGTTGAGGTTTGAGACGAATGCAAACAGACACACATGTCTTCAAGAAGAAGCCTCTCAGACGCACGCTATCAGATGAATGGGACTGTGGGAATGTTTTCCATTCACACGCTCACGAGGAGGATTTATCTGCGCTCTCAGATAGATCGCATTTCAAAACCAAGCCAACAAGCTGTCGGCTCAAGTGGGACGTTCGGCAGCGTTGGGTCTTCGGTCACGTCATTGGACCACCTGACCCCCAAACAAACTCTGAAACTGATCCGCTCGCTTCACATCCTAAAATAACTCAAAACACGCAGCTGTCAATCATTACAGCTGGACTGACCTACTTCAGGTCATGGTTCAGGAGAGACTTACGTAATGAGCTCATGTAAGCCTACAGCGGACTCAATCAGAAGTAGCTCTGGAGTTTCAGGCCTAAAAATATTCCATCTGTGGTCAATTTTACATGAATGACATCAAACTATCGGCATTTGACAGTGAAAGAGAGTCAATCAAATTAAATGCATCAAAACCAATTAACTGGAGAACAACAGCCTTCAAATGAAAGTGAAATGACATTTCTGGTAAGTCCACAAAAAACCCCCACAAATGCTAAAACCTGTGTTCAAACTGTGCTATATTAGACTATAAACACGCAAATCACACCACAAACTGTGTACATAGAGTGGCTATAAAAATTGCAGGTTTTGGAGAAATAAAAAATGTATTCGAGATAAATCGTGTCAGATATTTTTCCACCTGTAATGCAAAATATTGAAACCAACAAAATTCATGTAACAAACAAATTGAAACTTTCTTATCTTTTTAAAATGTGTTTTTTTACTTGAATTTAGTTGGTTTCAATATCCCATTAAAGGTGGAAAAAGATCTGGACTGGACTGGTGTGTGTGGCCACTTTATTTCTAGATCTTTCTGTTTTCTGAAGGAAATGTTAGCAGTCCGTGCTAAACTAAGTCGGGTCACCTGAGAGACTCGTCCTCACCTGAACGCTGGGATCTGATGCAGGTAGACGTTCACCTGAACACGCTTCGCACCCCGAAGCAACAGTCCAGTTAGCTGTGAACACAAACACACACAAAATCAACATCAATGCAAAAACAGCTACTGAGTGACTGCTGGCTAACATTATCCAATACTTGGTGACACGATTCACGAACCCCTGGGGCTTTGTGAGATGATCAATATGCACACTATTCTCATACATTTATGATACATATATACTCATATACACACACTATACTCACTATTTGCACACTATACTCATTATATACACACTACACTCATTATATGCACACTATATGCACACTATACTCATTATATACACACTATATGCACACTATAATAATTATATACACTATATGCACACTATACTCATATACACACACTATACTCATATGCACACTATATGCATACTATACCCATTATATACACACTATATGCACACTATACTCATTATATACACACTATTTGCACACTATACTTATTATATACACACTATACTCATACACACACACTATACTCATTATATACACACTATACTCATTATATGCACACTATACTCATTATATACACACTATATGCACACTATACTCATTATATACACACTATTTGCACACTATACTCATTATATACAACACTATATGCACACTATACTCATTTTATGCACATTATATGCACATAATACTCATTATATGCACACTATACTCATTTTATGCACATTATATACACACTATACTCATTATATACACACGATACTCAATATATGTACAATATATGAACAATATACTCATTATACACACACTATACTCATTATATACACACTATATGCACACTATACTCATTATATACACACTATTTGCACACTATACTCATTATATACAACACTATATGCACACTATACTCATTTTATGCACATTATATGCACATAATACTCATTATATGCACACTATACTCATTTTATGCACATTATATGCACATAATACTCATTATATACACACGATACTCAATATATGTACAATATATGAACAATATACTCATTATACACACACTATACTCATTATATACACACTATATGCACACTATACTCATTATATACACACTATATGCACACTATACTCATTATATACACACTATATGCACACTATACTCATTATATACACACTATATGCACACTATACTCATTATATACACACTATATGCACACTATACTCATTATATACACACTATTTGCACACTATACTCATTATATACAACACTATATGCACACTATACTCATTATATACACACTATATGCACACTATAATAATTATATACACTATATGCACACTATACTCATATACACACACTATACTCA